CAAGCAAATCGTGGCAAAATCGGGCTAAAATCGTGTAGTCTGAACCGGGCATAAGGCGACGTACATGGAGACGACGTATGTATCATGTGTATGATGTGTCATCGAGGGACTGCCACGACAGAACAAAGAAAGAAAAATGCTGGCGAACTATATATTGGAAGCGCTTCAGCAATGTTTACACTCTTGTTTTCGGAAGTCAGTCGCTAGTTCCGCCTTCTCGATGACATCACGCGCGTCGTTAAAGACGGCACGCGATGAATGGTCGGGAAGCAACGTGTAGTCTGACATGTTTCTTGTCCACGACACGACAAGATTTTAGGAGTCAAAATCGTGTAATCTGACACAGTGACTATCGTGACCGACAAAAATATCGTGTAGTCGGAACCCGGCATAAGGTTGCACACTCATATTTGTTAAAGTAGGCCTATTTTATTTAATTATATGTATAATAAACAGTTAGCATCTTCAGACTAGGTTTCTTCACTGAAATTGTCGCCGTGTGTTATGGGATTGTCTTCTATGTAAAGGACACTTAATTCTACCTTAGATTTCTGCTAAATGGGTTGCTACCTTAGATTTGGTTTTGGCCAAAGATGACGTGGGCGACAGCATAATCTTGTCGTTTTTAAAGCCTTCACATCAGATTTGCATCTGTGAATGCTGCCTATGTAGGAAGCTCATTAGCTTTTGGAACAGAGCCATAGTCTCTTAGGGCTGCTTTGTTCGCTTCCTCGGAGAGTTTGGCCCTGTAAATCATTTGGTATTGCTGACTTAGGTGTTAGCTGTGAAGTGCATGTGTGGGGGGTTCGTTTTACGAGAAGCGGCTCAGTAGGGGATGAATGGGTTTGCGTTGGACACACTGATCGTCTTTTGAAGCCAGTAATGAGTCCAGAGCTTGACTGAACGCTGCGTTTCCCAGAACTGCATTGTCATTGAAAAAGTAGAGTTGATGTTAACAATAAGATGAAGTAAGAACCTGATGACTGTGTGGTTGAGCCTTCAGAGACCGTAAAACATCTGCTTTCCCCTTGTGACGCAGGACGCACTCAAACAAATACATCAGTTCCACTAGACTGATACAGAGGAGAATCAAACTCATTCATTTCCTGTTGCTGTTGGATCACCATGTAGTCATCGCTCATTTTGTCTCGTCTTCACTTTGTTTTGTCTTGTTCGTGATAGAAAACTCCTCTGCGAGTAAGTGGGATCTACGTGAAGTCAGTGGTGCCCGATTCCCCAGCAGCCCTCAGTCAGAGACTAAGAGTGGGCGACCGCATCCTCGCTGTCAATGGAGTCAGTCTGGTGGGAATGGACTACCACAGGTGAACACCGGACACTTCTCTAAACATTCAGCATGCTGCCTTACTGCTGAACGGTGTCAAAATACATCCTACTTGTGTCCATTTGTATCTTGAATATTGTCAAAAGGCTGAAAAGTATTGTGGGGTTTAATTTTTTTGGTGATATGGCTCACCATGGGCAGGACTACCTGCTTCTCCAACCAATGGCAGAGTTTTGGAAACAGGAGATTTATTTATGCAGTTCTGTCTGCTGCCACTAGTGGTGCAAAAATGACACGCGTCAATTTTAGCTTTCATAACTTCCACTAATACGAAATTGTCCACAGTACTGGATGCTTTTGATACAGGTGCTGTCAGTCAGCGTTATATTATATATATATATATATATTTGTTTCTCATTCACATTATTCTCAATGTTAATTGTCATGCTTGTACACAGTACAACAAATAGTAGCATGAGGTGTAAATTTCCTTATTTTTATGTAATACTTCACAATTTAAATAATTATTCTTCATTACTATATCATCATTTATTTGTTTGTTTTTGCATTACAGTAAAAAAAAAATCTTTATGGGTATTTTTAGGGATAATAACGATTAACCGCGAGCTGGTCGAAAATCGATTCAAATATGTGACCATTCAAATCGGTTGAGATGCCAAACAAATCGCGATACAATTGGAGTAGGAGTTTATATGAATGTATCTCTGAGGGGAACTGACTATCTTTAGAAAAGTTTACGTGTTATTTTCTTTTCATCTTGCCTCTGAACAATGCATATTAAAGTAGTGTTCATAAGAAACAAATACATCAGTTCCACTAGACTGATAAAGAGGAGAATCAAACTCATTCATTTCCTGTTGCTGTTGGATCACCATGTAGTCATCGCTCATTTTGTCTCGTCTTCACTTTGTTTTGTCTTGTTCGTGATAGAAAACTCCTCTGCGAGTAAGTGGGATCTACGTGAAGTCAGTGGTGCCCGATTCCCCAGCAGCCCTCAGTCAGAGACTAAGAGTGGGCGACCGCATCCTCGCTGTCAATGGAGTCAGTCTGGTGGGAATGGACTACCACAGGTGAACACCGGACACTTCTCTAAACATTCAACATGCTGCCTTACTGCTGAACGGTGTCAAAATACATCCTACTTGTGTCCATTTGTATATTGAATATTGTCAAAAGGCTGAAAAGTATTGTGGGGTTTAATTTTTTTGGTGATATGGCTCACCATGGGCAGGACTACCTGCTTCTCCAACCAATGGCAGAGTTTTGGAAACAGGAGATTTATTTATGCAGTTCTGTCTGCTGCCACTAGTGGTGCAAAAATGACACGCGTTTACGTGGTATTTTCTTTTCATCTTGCCTCTGAACAATGCATATTAAATTAGTGTTCATAAGAGCAGCCCTGCTTTGTTTACAGTGGTAACCTAGGAAACACTGTATCATTGCTGTTCATAAGCGCCACCTGCTGTCAGAGAGTGAATCTGCGTCTCATGACGAATCTGAATGTCTCAAAGTCAGACCATTCTGATGTTGCTTCAAATTTCGAAATTATACAGTCTAATTTAGATTAAAAACTACTCATGCTTGCCACTAGTGGTGCAAAAATGACACGCGTCAATTTTAGCTTTCATAACTTCCACTAATACGAAATTGTCCACAGTACTGGATGCTTTTGATACAGGTGCTGTCAGTCAGCGTTATATTTAAAATTTATTTTGATACCTTATGTTTTTTTTTTCTGTATATGTCTAATTGTATTAAAAATGTCATATTTAACCATCAAATCAAAATAATAAATGATGTTTTGTTGAAAGTTAATAGATTTATTTTATTTGTGTAACTAACTTGTTTGATTTGGGGTTTGTTTTAAATTTCATTTTAGTTTTGTTCTATTTTAATTTCGCAAAGAAACGTGCCGCAATAGCCTAATAAAACGACACCTTTTCATTTACTGTATAATGTCTTCAATCTCATTTTGTAAAAAATAAATCGTGAGAAAATCGAATCGTGAATCGAATCGTGAGTTGAGTGAATCGTTACATCCCTAGCTATTTTCCTAAGCCAAATATAATTTCTTATTTCTTTTTTTGATTTTAGAGTCAAAAGACCTGGCAATGTTCTGGACCGGTTTAGTGAGATTCACTTTATAAGATTTAATAGAGAGGTTTTATAGATGTTCTTGGCACTAAAACTGACCGAATGCTCTGTCTTTTCCTGTCAGTGGAAGAGAACTCATCTGGACGTCCAACGATTCGCTCCGATTACTGGTGGCCAAAACTGAATCCAGGAGCTTGATCACCAGATGCTGAGAAACAAAACAGACTTGTCTGGATGATTGATGGTATCTTTGGACTGATCGTTCCTCACTGATCCATTCAGTCAAATCTCAGGCACTGGAACTCGGATTTATTCCTGAAACCAAAGGAAGGCAATTCAAATGGATTCATTAATGTTGCTGTTTGTGTTGTTGTTGTTGTTGCTTCTGCTGGCTTTGTCTCTTTGTTGGTGGATTTGTCAAAGTCTCAAATGGCCAGAATAATATGTTGATTTCTTCTTTTTATAGTAGCGTTTATTTAACACTTTTCTTTGTTTCTTTTTATGTAACATAGTTTGCCAGATGTTTTCTGGTGTTTATTTTTGTTTAGAATCTGTCCGTCTGTCATTTTCTGGTTTCCTGAGAAATAGTTGTGGTCCAGACAGGGTGATTTCAGTTTCCCTAAAGCTCAAACCGGAAGAAAAAGAGAGTCACACAAATCCATTCTCTGTTCATAACATCCAAATACTGCTGGGAATATCAGTCAGAACTACATTAGTTTTTAGTCCGTTTTTAATATGTAGCCAAAGTATCACTATTAAAGTGGTTCATGTTGCTGATGTTATGAAACTATGTACCATTTTCACATTGATGCCATTTCATGTTATTATTACTTGTGAGGTTCCTGATGTCATAAATGATGTTCTTCCTCCGTTCCAGAGAAACAGTGTTATATTGTGTCATCAGTGTTCATGATGGCATTAAAAAAAGCATTTGTTTGTATTATTTATATTGCTAACTGTTAATGTACAAGTGTAATATTTTATTTCTTCTTAAGGAAAACTGTTTTTGTTTGTTGTTTGTTTTATTTGACTTTCAATTTGTTTAATTTAAATTTTATTAACATCTTGTATGCATATAAACTCTGCGAACAGGAAGTTAGGTGGTCATCATTTTAATTGCTTATAGGTATTAGAAATTTCCAATAAATCTGAAAAAGTTCGTTTTGTTAATGTTTAGTAGTACACATGCATATAAATGGCCTTAAAACTAGCAGGCATGAATTGCAGTCTGAAATTCAGAGGGTCTTTAACTGGTTGAACTGCTCTGCTGGACTGTTAGTCTGCAGAGGTTTACAAATGAAATCTAAATGAAGCAGCACACCCTTCAGTGTAAATGAGGAGCTCCGCTGCTTTTTGAGCTGCAGCAGAACATGGAGGAGCTCAAGGGTGAGTCTGGATGGAAATGCTGCTCACCGCAAAACTCAATGCCGTTTATAGAGCATTTATTGAGTGAAGTTTCCATTGCAGCAGCGACACACACATACACACCATATACTGGAGCTCATGCTGAGACACTGGGTTTGAATATGCTGTTTAGACACGTTCACCTCTTTACACAAAGTTCAAAGAGATTTTAATGAATTCTGCAAAGCTGCTGAACAGAATTAGTTTGAATATTACTGTTAAATAGTAACTATATGTTTCTGAGCTGAGGACTCTAAATTCATTCTGCATTATGTAAATCTTTGTCATCTTGATTTTCTGTCAGACTCCAGCGCTGTTTTATTTACACAGACATTGGGTTTGTGGCCGTCACTTATTCATGTCTGATCCAATAAGACCTCAGGCATTACATCCGCTATGTTCGGAAGAGCAGACTGACATACTATTCTTAATATAGGATGTGAACTCGTAACAGTGTTCAGATTTTCTGTATGATCTGTATGGAATATTCACATGAGCTGCTTTTGCCAGAATGTTGCTGCTGAAAAAAAAAAAACAGCTAAAACCAGCCTAAGCTGGTTGGCTGGTTTAAGCTGGGCTCAGCTGGTCTCCCAGCCTGGCTAGGCTGGTCAAGCTGGTTTTAGCTGGTTGTTCCAGCTGGTCTCCCAGCCTGACCAGCTAAAGAAGTGGCCAAAACCCTTCTAAAACCAGCCTGCTGACCAGCTACGGCAAGGCTGGACGACCAGCTAAAACCAGCCAACCAGTTTAGGCCGGTTTTAGCTGTTTTTTCAGCTGAATATTGTATCCCAAAATACAATGTGCTTGACTCGATTTGTCATTTCAAACAGGGCGTAAAATCATTATCATGTTTTGACTGAATACTTGCCAAATGTTGATTTTTTTTTTTTACACAAAACTGAATAATATAAATAATATATGATAACTGGACACAGCTCTCTAAATAAGGCCATGTCCACATTTATACGGGTATTTTTATAAACTGAGTTTTTCCTTCTTCCGTTTTTAAAGGGGTCATATGATGCGATTTCAATTTTTCCTTTCTCTTTGAAGTGTTACAAGCTCTTGGTGCATAAAGAAGGAGAAACAATAATGTACAGTGTGTGGAAAATAATGTGTTTTTTTAACCTTAAACCGCATAAACACATTTCATTACACCAAATACACAAAATAATGTTCTTTTTAGCAGCATGACCCCTTTAAAAAAATCGCCATCCACATGAAAACACAAACGCATATGCTATAAAGCACTGTGAAGAGCATGCCAAGCCAACAGGTGGCGTGTTTTGTGTGTAACATAAATGAGGAATGCTCTCAATGAGAATTAAGATCTTTCTTGAAATACATTTCTTTAATAATCATTCCTAACATACTTTGTCGACTCAGCTGTTGACCGAGGAAAAATACTTTTTCCACAGATTCCCGAAGTGAAGTGAGTTACTTTTTTTTTTTTTTTTTTTTTTTTAAAAAGGGAAAAGTCAAATAAGCTCAAATAAGTATTTTCTCGTCAAGGTCTTACACTGTCTTCTGTACAGCATTGGAAAGAAAGCATTTGCCATGAGCATACATGAGAGATATTTAATGTAACTTCTGGTCTCTCGTCGTGGTTTCTTCTCCAATCCTCAAGAATGATTGTGCAAGTGTCTGATCTGGCTGGAGGTTTGCTCTGTTCAGTCCAGCAGAGGGAGACAAACATCATTCAGATATCAGTTTATACTAGTAAATGAATATTTGTTTATAATAGTGAAAGAATATCTGTTTATAGTGAATGAATATTAGTTTATACTGGTGAATGAATACCTGTTTATATAGTGATAGAATATCTGTTTATATTGTGAATGAATATCTGTTTATATAGTGAATTAATATCAGTTTATATAGTGAATGAATATTACTTTATACTAGTGAATGAATATCTGTTTATACTAATGAACAGTGTTGGGCAAGTTACTTCCAAAATGTAATACATTATATATTACTAGTTACTTTATTTTGAAAGTAATTAGTTACATTACAATATTACTGTCTCTGAATTGTAATGCATTACACTACTTTTGAGTTACTTTTGAGCAGATTCCCGAAGTGAAGTGAGTTACTTTTTTTTTTTTTTTTTTTTTTTACAAAGGGTAGATTTACCTTTGTTGAAATATTTTCAATTATGAGTGGCTTGTATTGAGATTCTGCAGTTTGCAGTTATTGTGAAATGATAAATGCATAAATGATTGTTGTTTAAACAGGTCTTACACTGTCTTCTGTACAGCATTGGAAAGAAAGCATTTGCCATGAGCATACATGAGAGATATTTAATGTAACTTCTGGTCTCTCGTCGTGGTTTCTTCTCCAATCCTCAAGAATGATTGTGCAAGTGTCTGATCTGGCTGGAGGTTTGCTCTGTTCAGTCCAGCAGAGGGAGACAAACATCATTCAGATATCAGTTTATACTAGTATTTGAAAGTAGTTAGTTACATTACAATATTACTGTCTCTGAATTGTAATGCATTACACTACTTTTGAGTTACTTTCACCAAAATATCCACAGAAGTATTATAAAATGGCAAAATGTAGTTTATTGCTGCTCATTCTACACCCAGTGGAGAGTAATGTGGTAGGTCTATATAGTATAAAATTATAAAATCATATTTAGATGCCGGTATGTAGGTCTACATTAATGTTACGTTGTAGTTTAGGTTAAACACAGATAAGCACAAACCGCATTATTACATTCATAAATAACACCGGTAAATAAAGAGAAATGTTATAATGTACAAACAATAAACACAATACCTAGCCTATAGGCTATATTGAACGGTTTCAGAAGAAAACAAGAATGAAAAATATAAGTTAAACAAGCCAAAACGAATAGGCTAATTCAATGCGAAACTGAAAGCAAACGGCGTTCTCGCGCAGCCTACCTCATTCTCATTCGGCATTAATCTATTATTTATTATGTAAACCAGGCTTACTTAACGCACTTAAAAAACATCCTCGTCACATGAGCAAATGTGTGTTTGGCCCGAGCTCAGGCTGAACGGCACGGATTGTACGCAGTATGCACTATTTAAATTAACCAGTGCATCTATACGTTTGGTTGACTATTTTATTCTGATAATGAACAGGCTACAACGTTTGCAATGCTGTATGTGTGTGCGTGAGGCGCCGGCGCGATCGAACAGCGGAAACAAACAACAATATTTACCGTATTGGCCCGAATATAAGACGACCCTGATTATAAGACGACCCCCCCTTTTTCCAGATGTACCTTTTGGAAAAAGGCTTTTTAAAAACCAAATCTTGTTTTTTCTCAGTAAAATACATTTTGTCTTCAATTATTTTCATATTGCATATTTTTCCTATTTTAATTTTTGTTTTGAAAGTATGGTAAAAACTGGTCAAATGTACCAACAATCACATTTAAAAAATATACACTTTTTGATATACCATTAAAAAAACAAAACAGGTTGCCCATCTGAATTAGGACATTTAGGCTATCCATCTAATAGTAGCCTACCGAAATCTTATTAACAGTAGAAGTTAAATCTTACTGTAGTCTTCAGATCTGGGTACTGTCTTACGTTTTAAAATCACAAAGGGAGTTTGGTGCCATCAGGCTAACGTGGCAGTCACGACTCATGCAGCTGTAAGGTTTTCTGCTTCTTTTGTTTTTACTGGCGATCTTTACAACACGCATTACATTACGTATTTCATGGCACACTCGTTTTATGCGTATTTGGCGCCACCTATTGTTGTGGGTGTATTATTGACATGTCAAAGTCTAGACCCTGAATATAAGACGACCGCGTTTTTTCAGATGTATTTCCAAGAAAAAAACATCGTCTTATATTCGGGTCAATACGGTAAATATAGAAATTATTAATCGGCTATTTTTTTGTCTTTTGGAAGCTGCATTCAAAATCCACTTGGCTCAAAAATCTGAGGGGGCAGGTGCGCCTATATAATAACATAAGACTGCAAGGAGTCAGGTAAAGGAGGAAAGACGTAGCCTATGTAAAATCTTCCGTTAAGACGTTGTTTAATTCTGCCTTTATTCGTCTTCAATATAAGCCTGGTATCCAAGATGTGGATTTTCATCGACATATTTTCTAATGTACCAACAGGATATCCTCGCTGTCAAATTTTCTTCAACAACGAAATCCAAAGCAGCCTAAAGAAAAAGAAAAGAAAAAGATGTTCAATATTGAGTTTCAGGAAACAGCAGAACATGAAGAACTGAGCAAGTTGAAGAGCGATTTTACCTTTGCCAGATGTGCTGCTGCACCTTTACCCGTGTGATTCAGGAACCTCTGTAGAGATCAACTCCACCTGCCGATCATGACTGAGAGTGTATTTCAGTACTGCACTACTCACTGTTCCTGATTCAGATTACAAGGGGGAAATTATTATTATTAGCCTATTGTTGTTGTTGTTGACTAAATCACATGGAATTTGATTTGAGCCTATACAGTCCGTCTAATAATAACCTAAAGTGCTGACTAACTAGTGGACGGCGCTTTGTGAATCAGCGGTGTTATGATGGTCAGAAATGCTGTCTAAATAGGCAGCTCACTGGGTTTTGAGACAGAACGTAAAAAAGACATGAAAACGTGCTTTTCTCTTACCGCCGCAGTCAAGCGTTACTGTGAAACGCTGCTTCTGTCTATCGTGTATCACATTTGTGTTCGAGGAGTTTGTAGATCCACAACATGTGTATTTGCTGAGGCGCTGACTGTTGTTATATCCTTGACTGAACCGAAAGATACATGTTTGAGACAGTATGTATCGCGCCATGACGTGACGTCACCAAACAGAGCTGTACAGTAACAGCAGAGGGCGCTGTAATGGTATTATTCAAAATCCACTTGGCTCAAAAATCTGAGGGGGCAGGTGCGCCTATATAATAACATAAGACTGCAAGGAGTCAGGTAAAGGAGGAAAGACGTAGCCTATGTAAAATCTTCCGTTAAGACGTTGTTTAATTCTGCCTTTATTCGTCTTCAATATAAGCCTGGTATCCAAGATGTGGATTTTCATCGACATATTTTCTAATGTACCAACAGGATATCCTCGCTGTCAAATTTTCTTCAACAACGAAATCCAAAGCAGCCTAAAGAAAAAGAAAAGAAAAAGATGTTCAATATTGAGTTTCAGGAAACAGCAGAACATGAAGAACTGAGCAAGTTGAAGAGCGATTTTACCTTTGCCAGATGTGCTGCTGCACCTTTACCCCTGTGTGATTCAGGAACCTCTGTAGAGATCAACTCCACCTGCTGATCATGACTGAGAGTGTATTTCAGTACTGCACTACTCACTGTTCCTGATTCAGATTACAAGGGGGAAATTATTATTATTAGCCTATTGTTGTTGTTGTTGACTAAATCACATGGAATTTGATTTGAGCCTATACAGTCCGTCTAATAATAACCTAAAGTGCTGACTAACTAGTGGACGGCGCTTTGTGAATCAGCGGTGTTATGATGGTCAGAAATGCTGTCTAAATAGGCAGCTCACTGGGTTTTGAGACAGAACGTAAAAAAGACATGAAAACGTGCTTTTCTCTTACCGCCGCAGTCAAGCGTTACTGTGAAACGCTGCTTCTGTCTATCGTGTATCACATTTGTGTTCGAGGAGTTTGTAGATCCACAACATGTGTATTTGCTGAGGCGCTGACTGTTGTTATATCCTTGACTGAACCGAAAGATACATGTTTGAGACAGTATGTATCGCGCCATGACGTGACGTCACCAAACAGAGCTGTACAGTAACAGCAGAGGGCGCTGTAATGGTATTACAGTGTTTCTCAGTCGCTTTGGTGCATTTCTCAGATCAGAAATGAAATTCTCAAAGCTACTTGTTCAACCTCCACATCATCTAGTCACTTGTGCACATCATAAAAGCAGTTTCTCATTCTTTTGAACAAGTTGCGATTGCTTTGGTACATTTATGCTAATTATGTATATAGCTATATGTCTGCAGTTTTCTACATTATCAGGTGCTAATGTCATGTTGCTCAAAATATATTATATAGTTCTCTGTGCAATAGTCGTCATTAGTTCATCGTATAAGCAATTAAATCCAAAATGGTTGACCTTGACGTCATAAACTGTCAAGCATATAATGGATAAAAAATCGCGTTTGGTCTCGTACTGTATCGCGTACCTTGTCAGTGTCGTGCACTTTGCTTGAGAAGGGTATAACTGCAGCCAACTGCAGCTCCAAATGGGGGCGGGAACTCCAAAACGGGGTGGGAGCTCCAAAATAGGGCGTGGCTTCCTCCCATTGACAGACAGGCACATGACACGCATGCGCAATTTTCCCCCCAATCCACTTCAGTGCAAACTCCGCCCCACAGCTGACTAAAAGTAAAAGTAAAGTAAAGTAAAGCATATTTTCTACACATTTCTATTAGATTTTTGTAAATTTGCTATGAATTGTGGAGGTAAATCTTGACTTTCACTAATGAAGAAAATGTAGATCAACCAATTATAAACCAGTTCTCTGAAATAGCTCAAAATTGCATCTCATGAACCTTCAATTGGAAAGCATATAGTCCTCGGAAAGCATATAGACAGAGGACAACACAAGAGTTGAACATCCAGGAAATAATCAGGGTCAACAGCTGAGAGGATGAATAGGAGTAAGGATGCATGGTGGAAGGGTACAGAGGCAAAACAGAGGAACAGAAGAGACAACGGACATATTGGCCAAGGCACATAGATGAAATAAGGGCCACTATTGTGGACAATGTTGTCAATCATGGCTTACAATGGCTGAGGTGGGTTTACAGTGTTTGCCTTTCTAATTTTGTATTTTTGCCTTTGTGCCCATATTTCCTTTTCTTTTGACATTACAATGACGTTGTACTGTGAATCCTATCCAGTCTCTTTCAATCAATACCCCACATACAGTAGTGTGTACATTTGTACTTTTGAAATGGATATATGGCATACAGAAGAAGTGCAGCCTTCTGCATTTTAATACAGTAACTGTCATCCAAACTGTTGCCATAGTTTACATACTAACAGAGTGCACTGTTATACTGACAACATGACTAAGCATTTTGACTATCTTGTTTGTGAACAATGACACAAGGACTTTTCATTCTGATGGCACTGATATGTTCATTGACATAAATACTTGCTTTTGAGAGACGAACTAAAGATTTTGAGTAAGTTACAGGCTTTTGCAGGTAATCCATTGTGTGGTGCTGTTTGTACGAATTGTTTTGAGAAATGCACATACTTCTTTGCAAATATTAAGGATGATTCGAGAAATGCACCAAAGCGACTGTGAAAAACGGTAATCCTCTCTCACATCTGACCACCACCACTGACATGATCCTATTTAAATATTACATTTGAACTTTAAATACACAATTAACTAGATTAGCGAATGTCGTGAAGAAAAACTTTATGTTGGCTCATCTGTAAGTTTAAAAAGATAGATAGATAGATAGATAGATAGATAGAAACCATCAGATAGACAGACAGACGGACAGATAGATAGATAGATAGATAGATAGATAGAAAGATGATAGATAGATAGATAGGTAGATAGATAGATAGATAGATAGATAGATAGATAGAAACCATCAGATAGATAGATAGATAGATAGATAGAAAGAAAGATGATAGATAGAAACCATCAGACAGATAGATAGATAGATAGATAGATAGATAGATATTGGTTGATTGATTTCATATTTATTTCTTTGTTTTTTCCAAGACTCACAAAGTCACAGCAAATCCACAGTCATACTGACTTGAAAGTTTTCTTCTAATTTAAGAACTACAGCACAGTGGCACATTTTTAATACTATACAGCTCTAGTAAAAACCAATGTCCTTCAATCATCAGGCATCTCCACAGCTGCAGTGTTTCTGACTCCTGTTGCCATGATGGCGAAGAACAAGTTGGGAAAGAGAGATCTGACATAGAGAGCTGCTTTAGGGATGGAGTGGGCCATCAAGATCTCCTTCTTCTTACTGCTCAGAGTCTTCAGGAGCTCAGTTGCCATCTCTTTAGGGGTCACACCAAGGGAGTTGGGTTTGACGTCTGCAGCCAGTGTCCAAACAGAAAGTCCAAGGCAATTTAGTGGACAAACAAGCAAGATGTTATGAGCTACAAACCATGTTCTTTGCTGTCTTTGCATTATGAACTGTCAGTGTAGTTCACTCACCTGTCCACATGGATTTTGCTGTGATTTCATCCGCTGAGTTTGTGCTGGGAGTCTTTATGAAGGTGTGGTTGACCGTGCTGACAGTTATTCCATATTCCTGAACCTCAGCCCGCAGACAGTCAAAGAAAGCCTGAACGGCATGCTTGGAGGCAGCATCTAAACAATGCAGAACATCTTACACTGACAAAGATATATAAATTCAAGACATCTTCATATATTTATAACTGTTGATTAGTGTTATGAACATTTAAGTTTATATTCAGTAACATCCAGGTAAACTAGACACAAAAACTCACAGGTGGCGCGGAAGGGCATCGTCAGTTTTCCCTGAATGCTGTTGACTAGAAGAATGTGACCTGTTCTTCTGCAGATCAGTGACGAGAGAACACCTGTGACGGTAAATATCTAGTTCAGTCATGAAACTCCAGATGAAACAGGCTGATATGTTTTTTACAAGCAATCTGCTAGAATTTACGACATGGCACAAGCTGATTGGGCCCCTCTTCAGCCAGTGAGATACTCAACCTTTAAATAGTCTAGTCACTGTGAGCTGGTCCTTCTGAAACCCTCCACCTCCCCCAGCTCCACCTGTTTTCATCTGCTACAGGATTTATGTATGACTATTCATGAACATGTCTTACATGCTCACAGCAGCGTGTCTGTATATCTATTGGAAGTATCAAATCCATACTTTCTCTGCAGCATCAGCGTAGCAAATTCATTCGCCAAAACATACATACATTAACGTTGTCATATCCATTGTCATGCTAAAACTATTCAGAGATTTGGCATTATTGAAATGCACTTAATTAAAAACGCTTCAACACAACTCAGAGTAACTGGCGTTTTACCCTTAACCAGCGTGATCGGCCCAAAGTAGTTCACATCCATGACGGTCCTGTCCATCTCAAGGGACAGACACTGTACAGGAGCCTTCACCTTCATACTGCTATTGAAGATGAGAACATCCAGACAGCCGTAACACTCCAGGATCTCAGAAATCACCTCAGGAACGCTCTTCATGTTACTGAAGTCCAGCTCCACTAGTTTGGGCGGAAATGTCTAAGCAGTAAAGTTAGAACTGAACCAAGTCACGCTGAACTACAGTCTTAAAAAACACATTGCTAAATGTTTCAGACAATCGTCATTCAGTTACTGGTGATTCTGCACTCACAAGTGCTGGATCTGATTCAGTCATCAGCCTCTCAGCTAGAGTCTCCAACTTTTCCCAGTTACTTCCGCAAAGGATCAGTCTGGCTCCTCCAGTATGGAAGAGTTGTGCACATTCTACAATGATCACAATGTAAACAACCGAGTTTAAACAACAAATATGCAATTCATCTGCAAACATGGCTCATCACAGTCTCACAAGAGCATTTATTTTAGATTAGGCCAGTCTGTCATTCCTATCCTGCAATACATTTTCATGTCCTTACAATATATGTCTCAATATATTAAACCTACAGTTTTTAATCTTGCCAACCCTTACCAAAAAGTAGTATACGTCAAGTTTATTTTATTAAGTATACTTAAGTGAAGTTCAAGTATATTTATAAGTATACTTTATGTAGTAAGTATACAAATATCAGTGTACTAGT